AGAAGTTTGCGGGTATAAAGTTATCGCAGCAAGCACAGGACCGAGTTGACTGGCAGAACATGGGAGAGGCCTTTGTCCTGCAGTGGACGTAGTCAGACTGATGATGGTGATGGTGGCCGTTGATCATCTGTAGATTTATTCTAGGATGTTTACACATGCTTCGTCAACGCCTTTATTCCGAAGTGTTTGCATTACTGCTAATATCTATACTGAGTCAAATGCTTTCTCGTAATCTATGAAGGCTATTTATAGTGGTTCGGTGTACTCTGAGCACTTATCTATCACCTAATTGATAGTATGAATGTGGCCCATTGTTGAGTAGCCTGTTCAAAACCCTGCTTGATCTATTTGTTCATTGAATTCTAATGTTGTCTTCGTTCTGTTAGCAATTACTTTTGCAAATAGCTTGTATTCTTATGACGGAGAGCAAGTTGATCGGCCTCTAATTCTTCAAGCCCTCGTCGTCCCCTTTCTTACGAATAAAGATGATGTTAGCATTCCTCGTACACTAGTACCCTCTTCGTTAGGAGACACGTCAAAACAGGGTGGCCAGTTTCTCTAATACAATCTGTTCTCCATCTTTGAGCCAATCTGATGTTACCTAATCCTTACCAGCAGCTATAGTGAATCATGGCATAGTAAAAAAAGAAGGAAGCGATGTGGAATACGAGAGATGTCAAAAGAAGGGAGAGTAACGCATACCCCATAAAATGTGAAAGAGAGAACTGGAGAGAAAGAAATGCAGAAAAAGAACGCATTAGAGGGACAAAGAGACATGCAAAGAAAGGACAAAATAGAATGAAATCACGAAGTCCTTGTCACGAATACCGTACGTAGAAATGTTATTCTGCATATTGTTATGGACGGACAACCACGGCTACAATAATTCGCTGCGTGGCATGAAGTACTGGTCTTGCACATGAAGTAGAATGAATATCCATGATAGAAAGCACTTATTAACTGCAAAAGTGTCTGGAATTTTAAAACACCCATACAAATCAAATGCTTGTATTCTTCACAAGCTACAAATGGCACCACAGTGCTTGAACGGCCTCTTCGGTGTGGAGGTTCCTTACTTATTTTTTGTGTGGATATGAATTAACGCTGTGCCTGAATTGTGCTTTCTCCTTAATGAAAAATTCATAAACAGGGGGTGGGTGCTGAAGCTGACGTTTTGACGAGAGAAGTTGTCTCATTCAGGGCTGAAGAGTTGAACGTTGAGTTGCAGCTTTAAAGAAGTTTGTTCTTCTAAGCGTCTGGTGGAGGCTCAGCCCCTGTTAACAAATTTCTGGTTGCAGATTTCCATCATCTCCTGAGTACCTTTCCTTTCTTGTCTATGCCAGCACACCGTCAAGCGTGTTTCGCTCTTTCAATCACAGAAGAGCTCAATGTGAGAGCGTTTACAGACATGCGACCTAGCCCAGCACGCAGCGTTACAAGTCATGCACTCCCTTATATCACCTGCAGGGATAGTCCCTTTTTCCGGGTTATTGCCTCCCCCTCCATTTACAATTCGTGTGATATTGCAGGGCTTCCGCGAAATCCTCACCTATGAGTCTATGACCAAGCGACCACATGATGTCCTTTCGCATAACTCGTGTTTACCCCGAAGGTCCTGTTTTGCACTCGATGAGGCACCCTTAGAAGAGGAGTATGCATCTTCTGGCGCAGCGTTGTACGGTTGCGTTCTGTGTTCGTCGTGAACGCTTAATGTTTCGTTACGATAGCAGTTATGTGGACTCTCTCGACATGTTTCTGCCATCCGTATAAAGTCCAAATTCATAACACGCGCATTGTATGTTCTACCCGAGTAGGTGGTGAACGTGGCTGAAGCAGACATCAAACAAGCCAGCCCGTCTTCGTCGTTTCGAATGCTCAAGCTGAGAGGAAACGCCCCGCCTGTTTTGAACGAGCAAGTAGGAACGCGAGGGGAGGGGGGAGAGGCGCTAGAACAGCAGCTGTGAACACTAATTACAAGGTCACAGGGCACGACTTTTCTGGGTAGGCATCAGCGGTCGGCTCGTGTACCTTTCAAGTTTTTGTGCTCTGACCGTGAAGAGACTGTGCTGAAACAGCAAAAGAGTGGCTACTTGGGCTAGTTGGCAACGTTTCAAAAAGACAGATAGGAAAGAGCACCCTATCTGTTTTTTTTAAAAAGATGCACTCTTCTCTGTCTTTTTTTCTTAAACGTTGTCATGCGCCCTAAGAAAAGTATATTTCTTTCGCAACTGAAAGAGCACCTCTATCTGAAGCAGCCGTAATTCCGGCGTAGCGTTGAGTTACGTGTGATCGTATCTAAATGTGTCAGCTTCGTGTGTTATTGCGATTTCTTGTTATCGCCTTCATTGCCCCAACCTTGCGGTGAAACTGCGATTTTTCCCGCTAACTCTGTAACGTACTAGTTAACATCACAATAATGTGACGTGTAATTGTTGTAACGCTTTTACCTTACGGCTAGCGTACATACGTTAACATTTTATTGGTAATGCGAGCTCTTACGGTACTAGCTATGTTTTAGTCTAACTATAAAACAGTTATAGTTTACGGTTAACGTGATAGCGGATGTTAACGGAATGGTGTTGCCGTGCAACAAACGTTCGTTGTGGACAGCGTCTTATAGTTTAGTGGGATAGCGTTTACGTTGTTTACGTGCCCCAGCTGAGAAGGTGGCGCCACCTATCGGATAGTTATTAAAATAAACATTAGGAAAAGGAAAAGAAAACGAGGATGTATGCCTATGCCACCACGCTAAGCATTGTTACAAATTTTATTTTACTAATAGTAAAAGAAAATAAGTAAGAACCAGGCACCAAACGCTAAAAAAATGATGTTGCCGATTTGGTAACATTGATCTTGTAGTTAGGCCTAGACGAGTTCGCAATTGGAAGCTATCTCAAAAACTACGCCACCTTATCTGTAATACTCCGTCGTCGAAGCTAACTGAAGGCAAGCGAAGCCAGTTTAAGCAGTCGTTTGCTGCGAACAAGGTGAATACTTTAAAAACTACGCCAAAATCACTTCGAAGCAGGCGTCCGAGAAGCGCCGCCTTGTTTACGTACACTACGCACTGCTGCGCTACCACGGTGGGGTCAAATCTGAAAAATACCACGCGTACGGTAAGCAGTACGGGTAACGTACGTATCTGCGCATGCGCACTTCGATTCTGGTATCACGGTAAGCCAGGTATACTATAATTGTCTACTATCCCCGGATTTACCTATATAATCTGCCATCTCGTAGGTGAACCGTAAGAAAGTGCGTTGTAAGAAACAAGTAAAACAAGCTTAATAAATTAGAACAAACTCCTGTTTGACGTGTGGTCAAACTGGACGTTGCATAAATGAAAGGTTAGGAGAGAATAAGAATGATTTATGCAGAGGGTTAAGTTCCAACCTTGTGATGCAGTCTAAAAGTTGCGGGTGCCAGCCTCTACTTTAGGCCGTGTGCAGGAACGCCATATGGACAAATTAACACGCGAAATCGCTAAGGCGTATCGTATTAGGAAATATGGTACGAATGCGAGAACTAGCCTTCAGGGGCTTTGCATGAAAATAGTTCACGGTTTTAGCTAGGAGTTAGTCCTTTTATCATTGTGCCTTCCTTTTTTATCGGAAGCTCTCCCACAAATACGCCGCGTTGCTCACGCTTGCTTGTTGGAAGATTTCGCCTGTTTGTATAGTCAGTTTACTGCAGCTAGTTTGTCAATGCAAAAGTATAAGGAGCCGTCGTATCGAAGCGCCATGAGCTTCTCCTGAGCGGCGTGGCTGCAATGTGGCGCGTGGCAAACGTTGGCCTGTAGCCTTCGGCGAGAAACGGTGGTGGGAGTGATTCTTGAAGAAAGGCACTTAATTTCGGTCATCCATAGGGCGAGACGGCTTAGGGCCTAAGAGAAGAAAAAAAATGGTTCCGTATCTGCATGCTTTACTGCACATGTTGTCGAAAGACGATAGCCTCGCGTCTGGAGCAAGTGAATAAAACATTTATTTAATGTTCGGCGCATAGAAATCGGTGAATGGCATTCTGGAGGCGCTGCGTTAGAGAGCCTCGATTCATGCAGCGGAGGCGAACGAGGGCATCGAGGCATGTCACACGTAAGACATGAGCGCTATCTGAAAGTTTTCTTGGAAAACGAAGCGCGCGGCGGGCGCAGTCCGTCTCGGACGCGATAAGGTGTAGAACGCAAGGCGACGGGTAAGTGCCACCACCGTGTCGACTTAGCAAAGCATTGTAAACACTTGCCTTTTCGCGCAAGCGTTGCATTGTCAGCACACCGTAATAAATGCTCTAGTCTTTAGAATTATGTATGGCTTTCCCGATATAAAGATGTACAGAATATTGGCGTGTTCTTATTGTGCCTCAGATATGCGCAATAACTGCTTTAAAATGGACAATCGCACAAGTATGAACCCAAAAACTTGAGGAGTATTGGTGCGCGCTGCGGATGGGGTAAGACTTTGGCCGTTTTGGGTACGGTTTCGGCGGACAAACAGACAAGTCCACTAACAGACAGACGAAAAATTTTGCGTCAAAGGTCCCCAGAAAGACTATCGTCATCAAAAAGAGAAACGGACGGCGTGGACGATACGCTTCACCCGCTTTGTTGGCCGCCAATCCGGGTGCAGTGGCGGTGACGGTGAAGATGTTGAAAGGAGAAGGCCATTAGATCACACGTTAAAACTTGGACGCGTCCGTTTGCCGCTAGGGAAAACCGCCGATATATTAACATGTGTACTGCAAAAATCAGTCGGTAGTCAGTGCTCATGTTGTTCCTCTTTGCCTTCCGTTTCTCGCTTTTGTTACAGCACTTTCGCGCTTGCGTTGGAACAGTTATTCACCCAGAAGTACCGTGCGTTATTTTTTTGTCGTACGACGACAACAATATTTTTTCGTAACTGATCTGGCTATGGGAGCTGTTAGCGTATCAAGTAACGCATTCTGTTACTGCTTTTTTTTTTTTTGGCAGCGTCAACAGCAGTGGGGCGCCCAGGAGTTGCAATTACCTTGTTCTTGTGGGCGTTCACGGAAGCGTAGCGAACAGTTCCTCGGAAGCCGGCGGCCGCTCTTGGAGGCCGTACTTCGCCCGTGGTCGTCACGTACTGTCGTGCAAGTCCAAAGTCCAGCATGTACACTTTACGTGACGAGTGCTGAGTACGGCCCATGGCAAAGTTGGACTGCGAAACAAGATAACAACGATGATGTATTAAAACCGATAAGTGCGGACATGCAGGCATTCACGCTCTTTCCAACTGCGAAAGCAGCCGAACGCATGTTAAGAGCTCGTTCACATCGAAGGCCAAAGCGGCAAAGCAGAACGCGAGGGAAGCCTGCTCACCAGGTGGAGATAGCCGGCGCAAAACAATCGCTTTGGGGCCTCCAATCGATGCTCGTCGCTTGGCCGCAGCCAATCGGAACGCCACGCGGTGGCACTGGTGTATGTTTGAGATTATCCAGAGGTTAGCATATGCAGTGATTATTTGGGAGAAGAAATGCCACGTAGTAGCGACGCGTGTGCAAAGGCTGCCCCGCGGCCAGTCAAAGGAGGCGTGTGGTCTGAGCACGCACTTTGCCGCTCCAAAAATCCTGCTTCGATGTGCTTTACTGTTGATATGAAACGTGAGCGTGCTCACAATGGACACTCCTACGCAATCTGCACGAAGGCATTCGTTTTCACTCTCATCCAGATGGTAAACAAATTTTGGCCTCGTACTTCACCGCGGATGGTTGATTTTCGTCACGCATCATATTCTCCTCATCAATGAATATAAAATATAGTTTAACGCAATAGATTAGGTTATATTATGCCTTACAATGAATTACTATAGTTAGGACGATTATATTATCACTCGTGCTATAAAAAATTAGGGGACCCTAAAGGTTGGCCTTTGGAAGTTGAAAGCGATTGCGAAATTCTGTTCGTAGTGCGTACTTAAATCACTCAGTGCATGAAACTTTTTAAAATTTGCTATGCTATGTGGCCTTAAGGGAATAGGCGAAGTAGCATCTGTGCCTTTTGTAGGGGGGGGGGGGGTACCAGCCTTCAACGACGCAGCCATTATAATCGCATATTATGGCGCCCTTTGGCAATGAAAGCTTGACAATGCATTATTACTGCAATATTTCATGTCGCATTGTGAAACATGTATACAGGAGACGTGTGTTTGTGAAGCATAAAAGTTACTTTTACTGCATTTTCGAACAGGAAGATATTTTCATTGTTTTCACAAGCAAGCAGATGCGTGGCCGCTTGGTAGAACATCCACTTGCCACACAAACGTCCCGGGTTCGATCCCCACTTCGACCCAGACAACCTAGATTTCGTCCACACTCTTCTACAGGGTTTCTTATCGTTTATTTATTTCATTTGCATCGTTCTCGAGTTTTTGGGTCACACATAAGATGACTTTTCGCTCACATGCGACGACGCCGACACTAGAATTACGTTATCGCGTACTGCACTCCCGGTTAGCCGAAACTTGCGCGTTACGCATATAGTCATAACGAAAAATTCACGCATCTTCACGAAGTGAATAAGGCGAACTGGGGAAGCTCTCGCAAGCGAACGTTACCCGAGCATTGCCCCACATATTCTAAATCGAGACACATATAGCAATGTAAATTCATTTCACCCCCCCCCCCCCCCCCTAGTCGTCCTGTGGATAATTCAAGGAGGATTTGGAATGGTGTGAAGTTTTCAGTGTCTTGCGGTGCCATGATCTCACGGACTGGATTCATGTTTCGCTAAGTGATGTAAGAAGTAGCTGATCGCACGGAGTCGTCGTCGCGGTGAGCTTGACGAGATCAAGAGCAGAGCGTTGTCCCAGGAAAGCATGGCACATGTCGCTATTTGAAGGTTTCATGTTCTTTAGATCTCGGTGACGCATCAGCAGTTTAAATGCTCAGGCACCCGCCCCAGTTGTCTAAGTAGCAAGTTCGAAAAGATTTTATGCACTAAGTGTTTGAAGTGCGCACTAGAGACCGAATATTGGTATCGCGTTCAACTCTTAAAAGTGAACTTCAGAATTCCACCTTTTTTGTCTTAAAACCACATTGTGAGAGATGCCGAAGGCTACGGCCGTCTAGTTTTCTTTAGCGTGCCCTCACAGTACATGGGCTTCTGCGTCGCCAAATGCTGCGGACGGGATAGACCCTGTGGCGCTTGGGTTTACAGCCAAGCACCGTAGCCACTTGAGATCTTCTGGCTACCTGCAGCCTGCCAGACAGAGCGCGCTCATTATTTCTCGAGACGCTGTGCACCAGCCGCCAGCTGTTTTGTTCGCGAATGGGGCGGGTTGTGCGTGATCTTGCGAGCGTACAAGTTCGTACCACAAATGCGCTCGCCGGAGAAGATTATTTCATGCAGCTCATCGGTAAACGTAGCCGGATATTTTGAAGCGGACATTGTAAAAGAAACCAACGTGCACGCGGCGAGATGTTTCGTTTGCTGCGACGACGGTAGCGTTTGTTGACGTCTACGATGGCTGGCACAGCTTTAGATTTTGCAATCTTCGGACAGCTTTGTATTCTTGAGTTCTTCACACACGTTAACATGGCTCTGTTCCCTGTCCGTACGAAACTAGCTGGTTAGCTCTGGCTGCCGGGAAGCTTCCAGAGTGATCACAACGCAACTGAAGACACGAGGTAACGAGACGAACGCATGCTGTGGCTGTTACTTTTGCTCGCATGCTGCAGTTTCATAAATTGTTTGTTCTTCACAACAAAGTTCAGTTGGAAGCCAGTGCTCGTCTTCGCTCGTCTCGTTGTCCCGTGTCTTACTTTACGCTCTAATGACACTACGAAATGGAATATCAAATAGCCTACATTTTACTTCAGCTGCCAGAAGTTTGAAAATCGAAGATACCCATGGGGCCACCACGGCGGACAAAGGGGATGAATGAAATGGAGAAAAAAAAAACACGGCCTGGTGGGGACACGCCGTATTGAAAAGCACAACTACAGTCGGTATATTCTCGACTGGTTCCAGGTGCGACCAATTTTGTCGATCATCAGCATACAGGTCATCAGTCATTTTGTTAGAAAGCATCTCGACTATACCCGCGAAGGGTAGGGTTAAGTTTCGGAACTCAGGACGTGTTCCGGTAAAGTATAATTGCGAACCATACCGGCTTGACGTCTCGGTGCAGGAATCCCACTTCGTGGATGCTCTGTATGGCGCGCAGTATCTGCAGCCCCAACCGAAGCGTGGTGCTGAGCGAGAAAGCTCCTCGGGGTTGCGAGCGACGCAGCTCGGCCAGGTTCTTGCCCTGAAGCTGCATGACCACATAGTTGAAGCGGTCGTTCCGGCCGCAGCCGATGAAGCGGCACACGTGCTCGCGACCTGCGCCGTAGAGCAGTGCGCGCGTAATAAGCAGTGGAATGGCGTTTACTGTGAGGCACATTAAATGAGGTAAGCACTGTACAACTATGAAATAGCTCCCAGGTGAAGCTTCACGGCACTTTGAAAGACAGAGTGTGACGGTCTCATTTACAAGATTTCGTAGAGCATCGCATCAACAGTGGAGGCGCTGCTTCTTTAAACTGTATTAAAACATAAAAAGTATGACCTGATAAACGCAATATAACAAAAACAGAGGCATACTTATGATACTTCCTCGCTTTTCGTTCACACAGCAGAAAACACGTGTGTCCGGCATTATGACAGAGAATATGTTCTCAGCCGAAGTCTCCAGGCCTCCCCCCAGCTTTTTATGTGTGTGGGCTGCGCTTTTCGTGCAGCCCACTCACAGGCTGCAACACACTAGGAAGACATTATGCGCTGGGTGATTCCACGAGAGATCGACACGGGTCCAAAAGTTGATATTTTATATTTCATTGAGTATTTTATATTTCGTGCACCTCTCACTAAGTAGCCCGAAAGTCAACTTTGTTTTATGATTAACGGCATAACTTACGAGAAAAAAATATCAAATTTCACCAACACGGAGGCACCAATTTCGTCACCTGTCATTTTCGAAAATTGCAGATGCTATAAAAAGACAAATATTTTTGTTTTAAGGAAGATATTTTTTACCTGAAATGCATGTCTAATGAAGAATGAATTCATATGATTTCAAGTTTGTAGACCTTAAGAATATAGCTTTTAAAAATGTCTAACTTTGCGACAGTTTAAAATAAGTTACGTATTCTCATTTTTTTCTCCGAAAGTAATGCAAGCAGCGTTTTCACACTTGACACGTTTTAAGAATATAGTGTGTTCAATAGGTCCATAAATTATTGTAGCCGTAGGGCAAATGTAAATTTTTATATATTGCCTCAAATTTCTCATATTGGCAAAAGTGTACTCCACTGAAATTTGAATGATAAAAAAAACCCATCTTCGATTTTCCTTAACATCTCGTAAATAGACGACCGAAGGCCATCATACAGTAATATAGAAAAACATGTTGCATTACTTTGTCTTTAGCGGCAATATTCGTGGTACAAATCAGAGCTTTTTGGGAATACGCTGATAAGTTGAGAAATCTAGAAATCGGAACGGAAAAGCGGCAATGAGCTTCAAACGCGAGTAAACGTGACCGCATTTGGTGAAGAAAGGCTGTTTTAGCACTGTGACAAATAAGTACTCATGAAGGCGCATTTATGCTCCTGATAGCACAGCTCTAATGGAGGAAATCTTCGCCACTGTAACTCAGTTGCAACACATCTGTCTATATTTGCAGATAAACTCCAACATGAAAATGTTCCAACGCAAGTGTGGGGTCTCGCTAGAAAAAGCATATGCGCTTGAAGTACCCTCACTGGTACTTTGGTGGTAACTGCGTGAAAGAAGAGATGCGCTCAAAATGGCTGCATCTTTTGCAGATCACATTTAGCAGTACGTGATGCTAACAAAACACGACCACGATCAGTGCCCTCAGATGTGCTTAGCCAAACATGCCAAGAACGTATGCCTGGAACAGCGTGGCAACAATCTCCATTGGCTCTTCTTAAACTGACGGAATGTTTTTAGCTTCGTCTGCATTTGCAGACAGCAGCTTGACATTCTTGAGCTTCGCACTCATTTGCGCCACCATTTGGGATGCTGACATGATCACAGCTGAGCTTGCTGCTCTGAGGTTGTAGAGCGTAGCCTGATGCTTTAGTAGGCCACTAACGCCGCCACAAGAGTTCTTTCCATGTCCTGTGGCCAAAAAAATCTACTTTGGTGATATATGATCTTTCTGACATAACTCGAACAACTGGTACTTGTTTTTGAAGTGACTGCATGCACCATCAGAAACATAAGTAACATGCGTGTCAGGCTTAAGTTGCTCCTTCATATAGTTATGGATTATTTGTAGAGCAAAACAGGCATGTGCAGCATCATGGCATGTGTCATCACTGATGACGGCAAAACTTTGAATTGATTGGTTCCTTGTGACGACACACGTGAATATAGACACCTGTCTTTTGTGCAAGTGATACGACTGTACCTCATTCGGTAAAATGGCTGTTCAATTTCCGGCGAAATCAAAGTGAAAAATGCAAGATTCTTTTTCTTGGTTCTCTTTCCCCTGACGTATTACTGATTCTTCAATGTATCTTATGTAATCATGGGCAATCAACTTCACGACCCATAGACATAGCTCTCGCTAGAAAAGCACTTGCCTGGGCTGTTTTTTTTTCACTAGATCGCCATTTTCCTATACTGCATAGGCTACCTTATATCTTCAGGGATTTCTAAACATGTGGCTGTCAGAGCATCCTCCTTAGCACAATAGTCACAATGGCCTAAAAAAACAATCACTTGTAGGGGAGCTGCAAAGACATAGTTCTTTCAAGAAGTCCGCCATGTAGGCACCATCGGTGACGTCTTGTAGGGCAGATACACACTCCATGGCATTAGCACAGTATATACAAATGCCCACTTCTTGGTGTGGTGCAAGAAGAACCCACTTCGGCCTCAGTAAATAAAACTGAGGCCGAGAGCCCGATAGACGTGTTTGAATTAGCTTCTATAAAAATACGGTAAGCCTCTCGCACCGAACCGGTCACAAACCTTTTCGAAACAAGCTCCTTTTTTCCGTCAATGATAACAGATACTACATTTTTTTGTTGAAACTCTGCCAAGAGCAGCTATACTCATCTTCAGAGTAGTAAGCCATAGCTGCCTGGACGTCCATTGGGTTCAGCCGTTTCCTTTTTACCGCATTTGGTGCTAACCATATCCCGTGTTTTGCGCGCCAGCGTCGGGATCTCTATATCGTGTAAGCTGACAAGTTTGGTATAAACGTTTGGAGTTTTCGGCGCTTATATCGCTCGGCAACAGTGTCAACAAACGCTTGCGCACTTGATACGAAGAACACGCTTCATAGGCTTGCTTGAAGTTCTGGAACCACTGGGCACACATACTGCATTTTAGATCTGATGGTTGAAAGTGGTGGTTACACACGTTACGGTGGCATTTCACAGTTACTGTAGAATCGCTGCTAAGTTGTCTTGGCTCTGCATGAACTTTGCTATTTTGCGCATGAAGCTTCTCCAGTCGCATATGTGACAATGCTTCAGGCATGTTTACGCACCGCTCTTGACTTCTGCCTTTTTCTTCTTCCGGCAAAAAATCATCAGCTGTTTCAGCTGAGAAGCCATTAGACGAAGACAGCACATCTCTGAGGCATCTGAAGCAGTTCTGGCAGACGTGGTCGTTGTTATGTGCATGGCGGGCTGCTTTCGGCAAAAGCTTCTGGAGGGCAAACAGGCCGATGTCTTCGACCTTGCGGAAGTTTTTTTGATGAGGCATTTTCTTTTTATACAACTTGAGGTAATCTGAACTAAAAACTCTATCCCGGCTGAAGCAGGTCAGCCATCGCCACGCTCCTTGAGGCTCAAGTTACTGGCAATGCAACTATGCGTGAAACCAGCAGCACGAAAGTGATCTGTCGTCTGTTCTTATGTCTCTCACCTTTAATGAGAGCAGACGTAAAGCAGCGTGCGCAAGTATTCGCAGTGCGAATGCAAAACTGAAGTATAGTACGTTAAAATGAATTTCACAATGTTTTTGTCGATAAATTACGGAACGCGTAATCTTTGTCCCTACTTTGAACCACATAATCTAAAACATTGCCTCCGAGATGCAGCGCACAGCAATTCATCTGTAGAGCAGACGACGGCTGACAACTTGCCCTAAAGCGTGTTCTTCAGCCTAATTCGGCAGTCTTCGTGCCCCAAATGATAAACATTTGTTATGAATTGTTTATAAACTCATCCATTATTCAATTCTATTACCCAACGTGTTGCGAACACATGGCCGTCACAGCAGCTCCATCTGTGTGTCAGTAATAGAGAGGGACCACATATTAGAGGTCTCAGTGCTCCACGTACAAGAGTGAATTCAGATACTGTAGAATGTTGTGTTCAAAATAGTTACTCCTATCTGCTAAAACAGCCTTTCTTCCCCAAATGCGGTCAAGTTTACTCGCGTTTGAAGCTCATTGCGGCTTTTCCATTCCAATTTCTAGATTTCTCAACTTATCAGTACAGTCTCGAGAAGCTCTTATTTGTACCACGAATATTGTCGCTAAAACAAGATAATGCAACATAATTTTCTATATTACTGTACGATGGCCTTCGGTTGTCTATTTACAAGATTTTAAGAAATATCGAAGATGGGTTTTTTTATTATTCAAATTTCAGTGGAGTACACTTTTGCCAACATGAGAAATTTGAGGCAATATATAAAAACTTACTTTTGCCCAATGGCAGCAATAATTAGGTACCTAATACACACTATATCCTTGAAACGTGTCAAGTTCGAAAACGCTGCTTGCATTACTTTCGGAGAAAAAAATGGGCAATATGTAACTTATTTTAAACTGTCACGAAACTAGACCTTTTTAAAAGCTATTTTCTTAAGGTCTACAAACTTGTAACCGTATGAATTCGTTCTTCATTACACATGCATATATGTAAAAATATCTTCCTTGAAACAAAAATATTTGTCTTTTTATAGCATCTGCAATTTTCGAAAATGACAGGTGAGGAAATTGCTGCCTCCGTGTTGGTGAAGCTTGATATTTTTTTTTCTCGTAAGTTATGCCGGTAATCATAAAACGAAGTTGACTTTCGGGCTACCTGGTGAGAGGTGCAAGAAATACAACATACTCAATGAAATCTAAAATATCAACTTTTGGACCTGTATCAATCTCTCCTGGAATCACCCCGCTTTTTGTTGATGTGTGGCTGTTGACAATGAATAGTTATGGCTCTTACTTTTATAATGTGCTGAAAGCACTCAACCACTCACTAGTCACGCAATATGCATAGTGGGCAGCGTAGCCTTTTATATTAGAAAAGAAAATGAGATATACGTATAGGCACTGGTTCTATCGCACTGGTACT